ATTACAGAATTATTGATTTAAAATTACCAATAATTTTTAGTCAATTTTTTTCCTAATATTTCTTGATTTATAACTTCCCTTCCTCTATGCTGATTTAAGACGCAGCGCAATCTTTCACCAAGAATAAACTTCTAGATTTTTCGTTTTCCAACGTGTAAAGATGTAAGTATGCTAATCTAATCATAGTTTTTTCTCTTTCTATTGAATCTGTTTAAACTTCTAACTTAAAAAAAAAACCAATGTTTACAGGTCTGAGTATTGGATATCACAGCAAAAACATTGGTGTCAATATTGTCGCATTTATATTGCAGACAATAAACCTGTAAGCTATTTATTTATTTTTGGGGTTGTATATCTATTGTTTGATTTATTATGGTTTTTCTATATTGTAATTATATTCTTTTTAAAGAGTCGAACAATGCACGAGCAAGGCAAAAAACACAAAGAAAATCAGGAGAAATTTCTTAGAGACATTTATCGTAAAGAACATGAAAACCGCAAAGAAGCAGCAAAAACTAAACGTGAATTAGAAAGAATTGAAAAGGTACTTAATGATTATTCATATATAAATATTCAAATCAATTTATTAATTTGATGCTTCGATCATTATATTAAGGCAGCAATGAAACAGTATAGAAGAGATTTAGCACTTGAAACTCCTGGTGCTACTTTACCTATACGGCCTCCAACGGACTCAACACCCGTAAAAAATTATGGTTATCATGATAAGGTTTATGTAGGACCAGCTATTAAAACTTCTGGTGCTACTTTACCTATACAGCCTCCAACGGACTCAACACCCGTAAAAAATCATGATATTGGTTATGTAGGACCGGCTATTAAGGAAGAGTCTAAGTATGATTCTACATTATCTTCAACAACGCAGTATACGTCAATTGCTCAAGTTGATGATGAAGATGACGAGGAGGATCCAGATGATTTAAGAAATTTTAAAGTTGTTGAAAAATCTTTTCCAATTGATAGTTATGATGAATTAGATCTGGAATTTGTAAAAATAAAAAAAGAGGAAGGCGTAGATGAAAAAAGTAGTGTGGTTTTTAAAAAGAGAAAACTTGGAAGTGGCAGTAATAAATCAAGAAATATTAGGAAAAAAATTGACTAAAAATTATTGGTAATTTTAAATCAATAATTCTGTAATCTTTAGTATAAATATGAAAGTTTAGATTAGTTTGGTTTCAGATTAGGGTAAAATACAGCAACGACCAAAAGTATCCGGCCTTATAATTCTATATTAAAAATTACGGTCGCCTCTCTATGCCGAACTGGTTGTTTTATAGATTTTGTTCGTTATGGGGTGAATTCGACCGGGGTAAAATCCCCACCCAAAAAGGTTCGAAAATCATGTAATATTGTCAATTCATCATGATTAGACCATGGTAATAATATTTATTAAAATATTAACATAATTGATTTAGTAAGTGATTTTTTTTTCTTCGATTCTTTAAAGTGAAAAGTAATTGTTAAAAGCATCAAATCCAATAAACACACTATTCTAAAAATATATGTAACCAAATTTATACTAACAATACCAAAATAAAATTATAAAAACTAATCAAGAAAATGCAATTGCACCAGAAAATCTTGTAGATTTTATTTTGATACTCTTCTGGAAGACTACAACTGTGATTATTTATTTGAATTCAGGACGCAACAACAAAAAATTATTGAAGAAAACAAATAATAACAAATGGCTAGATAGTATTAATAAAAACTTTGTGCCATTGCATAAATTTGAGGATTATAGTCATTTTAAAAGGCAATGCTTAGAAAAACAGTAATCATGATAAAGTCAGCCAGCATTATGATCCGCAAATTCTGGGCGAATTAATATCAGCCGGCATTATGATGACTGTAGACCCTAAATCACTAAAAGTTACTAATGAAGTCATAGACCACTCATTAAGTAAAGTTGCCCAGCTGATAATTTTGGTTAACTTTTTATTGCTAAATGTCGGTCTAAATTCTTAAGACCGTTAATTATTCACGGGTTTATTTTATACGTTAAAATGATTCCAATTATACATACATTGGGTTTTATACTAATCAATTTAAGTTTTAAATAAACCTTGGATACTATAATAAACCCACTGATATGTACCTTACCGATTATTAGTGTGGTAAGGTATTTGAAAAACTTTCTTAGGACTAGAAAGTTATATGAATATTCGAGGTGTTACGATTTTGGTTGCTTTTAGATAATTTACATTATACAAGACTATGTAATATACAGTATATAAATTTCCTACACGTATAAAATTCTTTTTTTTTTTTTAAAGATAATATTTATCATAGTGATTTATTCATGAATTTCCTCTTTTGAAAACACATCCACCATTTGCTAGGTTTACCATCAACATATACCCTATCAACCAATCTGGTGGCTAGCTCCTGTCGAAGTTGACCTAAATATTGACGCAAAAGATCTAAGAAAAATAAAACCAGTTAAAGATAAAGACATTAAGCAATTATTAAAAAATAACAATTATAACTGAGAATAGCTATGAACCTGCTTCATTTCTATTAGATGGAGGTGAATACAACGCATTCAATGGAAACGTTGGATCTCCAGGTAGTGCAAAATTGTCAGTTGCGCGAGTGTTTAAGATCTTAATTGCTTCTTTAGACGAAGGATTCTTAACGAGTTTGTTCAAACAATCAGAAATGAACAAAATAAGATAAATTAAAACCCGGTCTGCATCGCCTTTGATTTCGAAATTACGAAATAAACAGTTTGCACGAAAGAGATCTAAAGCTTCATCAATAATGTCGTCCTCAGATGTAGGTGCTGTACAAATTAACAAAATCGGTGGCTTGTAGTTTTTGTGATGAGAAAAGAAGCCTTATTATATTGTTGGTTCACGCAATCTTACCTGGTGTTGCAGGTCCTCTAATTTTTGTTTTTATAGGTAACAGGACCATGTTACCAACTACTCGATATTCAGTTCTTTCGTTAAACTGGGAATGATATGCCTACGCGTTTCATTCATAAATATAAATTCTTTGGTAAATATAAATTCTTTAGTAATTGACATAATTAATGAGTAATGAACTTTTTGCTTACCGGCATGGTTTATAAAAATTTTTAATACTTTAACCGCACTATCAAAATTTAACCTGCATGTTTGATTGATTTCATTGGTTTGATTTGCAAAAAACTTAGATTGGTTAAAATTAAAGATCGACTTCACGTTACTTATTGTAGGTTAGAAAATGTCTCGGTGACGTGTCGCAGACCATCTCCGACCCGATAATGCCAATTACGTATCAGTATTATCAGTATCGGTATTGTTAATTAAAAGGCTAAAAATCATTTCAATTAATACGTAATTTGTATTATCAGGTCGGAAGTGGTCGGTGACATGTACCTACTTTGTAGAACTTTGTAGCGACGACGCAGTTTTAGCCGAGCCATTTTTTATCTAGCCAATCGAGAGTCGTGGTTCCAAGTTTATTGTTATCACAGGTTACGGTACATCACACGGGGTGACAATTTTCTACAATATATATATATTAACGTTAAACTTAATACGTATACATAGCGATAACTTTAATTCAAATTAAGGTCAACAGCATAACGATAAGTACATTAATTTCAATGTGTGATCAGGCTAATTAAGGTAAATTTTTTTTAGTACGTATCGGTATCGTTATTCCGAAAAGATCTGTGCTGGAGAATGTGCTCCATAATTTCCATTTTAGGTATCAAGATAAATACGTAATTAATTCTTACTACGTATATAATAATGCATAAAATGTGAACTCTTCATAAAAAATAGCTTAATAATCACTTAATCATGCCTCTTCGAAGATCAGCACGTATTGCTGCCAAAGAAAAATCCAATGTGCATCCATCCATAGTGGATACTGAAAGTGATGACCAAATAACCGATAATGCTAAGAAACCTTCCCGTAAAAGAAGAAAGAAAAATGTGATAACCGATAAATCTGTTGATATTGCTCCTACCAAGGTTACAAGAAATAAAGAAACATCAAATATAAGTCAAGAGTTTTTAGACAAGACTAAAGAGGCATCAAATTCAAAAAAAGTGTCATCGGTTAAGGATTTTAATAAAGAATTAGATATTATTTCCAACTCGAAAATTATTGATAAGGGAAAATCAAAGGAGGTCGTTCATCATTCTGATGGAAGTACGAGTATTTTTGAAACCATAGATACCGAATGGTTACAACTTAAAAAATGTGGACAGCAACATAATGTTCATAATATGCATGAAGATGAAGATAATAGTGACAATAGTGACGAATGGGAGGAAGTCGATTTGTCACAATATAATAATAGTAAGTGAGTTATTTGTTAAAAGGATCAACGGTGAAATTATAAAAAGAATAAATAACATACTTCACTCATTATTTCCTATTTTATTTAGACTTGTCTGATTTGCAAGTTAGTTCAATTCCAAACGAGACAATTGAAATCACCTTCAAGGCTCCAAAGATTGAATACAAGTAAGATAAAGTATATCAAGATGTTAACTTTAAGAATTATGACTTAAAGAAAATTTTTTTTTAACCTGTAACAGACCCAAAGGAATCACTAAGATAGAAAGAGCTATACAGCAAAATATTCATAAAACCCATTTGTTAACACTTCTTACTCACGGTATAATTAGAAATAAATGGTGCAATGATGATTTGACAAAGGTATTTATTATTTAAGTTGCATTAAACGTTTATTACGGTGTAATATCTTTAAGTTTGTAACTTGCTTATTTAATAATTTAATTATTTAGGCTATAGCATGTTCATTAATTGAACGTGATATGTTAGCTCTTTTTGATCAAGTTCTATGCTCAAGAGGGAGATTCACGTTAATTACAGCGTTAGAAGAGTTGGTTAGATGGTGGAGATCATATTTTAAAATCACGAAACCTGGACTCCGTGCAAGGGATGCAAGAGATTACAAAGAATTTAAAGTTAATGATATTTTTAAGGTTGGATCATTTATTGTTAAATCGGATAATAATGTATTAGCAAGAGCAGGAGTCCAACATGTAATGGTGCTCCTATATATTGTAGATTGATGAAACGTTTTGTGAACATCATTCTTCTATCGATTCCTTTCGCAAAAGTCTTCAAGACGGAGGCGGGAGTCGTGACACATCTGCACAATTATTTGTTGCTTTATTAAGGTCTTTGGGAATTCCTGCTCGTTTGGTATTTTCTTTGCAAGTAGTCTCATTCAAAATTACGCGTGTGAATAATTCGTGCCAAAAAAGTACTGAAGAAATTACTGAAAGATCAGAAAAAAAAGATATACATGGTGATGATAATGTTCAAAGAATACTTGGACTTGGAAAATTCCGAATGCATCGTAAAGTTAATAGTAGTGACAATAAGCGAAAAATCAAATCGGATGACGATTATGATCCTACTGTTAAAGAAAAGCCTGCTGTTCGTTCTCGCAGGTCGCGGAGCATCTCTAAAAATATACGAGCAGAATCATCTAGTTGTTGTATGTATTCAAAAATGTACTTTCGATAAATAGTGGGTTATTTTTAAATTTGTTGCAATATTTTTTATTGCCAAAATGCAGTTATCTTTGATCCTGATTCGGCTCCAATTTTCTGGTGCGAAGTATATTACGCGACCCAAAAAAAATGGATATGTGTTGATCCGATTCGCGCTCGAGTTAATGCTCCAAAATCAATGGAACCTCCTTCAAATGTCAAAGATAATATTATGGCCTATGTCGTTGCTTATGAAGAAGGTACAATTTTTTCGAAAAATTCAATACTTACTGTGATAAAATATTACTTATATAAAATATTTGTTAGATGGTTATATGAAGGATGTTACTCGTAGGTACTCGACTCAATGGGGTGCTCGAACTCGCAAATTACGCGTACCTGAAAAAGATGGACAGAGTTGGTGGGATGAAACATTGACATATTTTGCTCGTCCGTATGAGAGGGTAAGTGGGTGGCAGTTATTATTATTATTATTTTAATATTATTATATTAACACATTGTTAAATAGGAACGAGATAAAATTGAAGATTCTAATTTACATAGCATGGAAATTTCCGAACGCATTCCTACAACTATTGGCCATTTTATTAATCATCCACTGTATGTATAGTACTTAGTTTAGATGAAATGTTAAATAAAAGTTTACTATAAATAAATAATATCATTAGGTATGCTCTCGAGCGTCATATAAAGAAATTTGAAATTATATTCCCAAAAACACCAATTATCGGACATATCCGAGGTGAACCAATCTATCCGCGGAAGAATGTCAAGCAGGTTATTAATACTTTTATATTTATTTATGACTAATTAACAAAAGAACAATGGTTATTGAATTGAGAATATTCATTTAGACAAACATTTTTTATATTACATACTAGTTACATACTGTTGAGACATGGTTGAGAGAAGGCCGTCAAGTGATGGTATTTAAGTTTATTGAATCACTTATCGTTAGATTTTCTATAATCTTGATATTGTGATTCATTACTGAATGATTTATCAGGAAGGGCAACAACCGGTCAAATATGTGAAATCTCGTGTATTTACATTATCTAAACGTCGAGCAGCAAGTATGGCAGAGTTATTTAATCAAGAACCTCCAGAATCGGGTCTTTACGGTGAATGGCAAACTGAGGAGTATAAATCAGAACCGGTTATCGATGTAAATATTACAATTGATTTTAATCATTGTTAGCAATTATTTAAAAGAATTTTTTTTAAAGAATTGATTTATTGATTATAGGGAAAAGTTCCAAGAAATCAGTTTGGAAATGTCAATCTGTTTAAACCAAGCATGTGTCCTGCTGGTGGTGTCCATATTCCCAGTAAGTTATATCATACTATATAATTAGTCATATACTATTGAATTAAAATATTTGGGTCTTTTAGTAAATGGTATAGGGAAAATAGCAAAGAAACTTCATATTGATTATGGCGATGCTGTGGTTAGTATACATTATTTATTTTAAAAATCATTTAACATTGTATAATTAAAAGTTACATTCTTTAGGTTGGTTTTGATTTCCAATCACGTCGGTGTATACCTGTTGTAAATGGAATTGTGGTTCCTGAGGAGCATAGTGAGATGTTGATGGAGGTAAATATAATTTGGGCGTCTTTTCTTAACATTTCCGTACGTTGAAGTTGGTTATATTATACAGGCATGGAGAGAACATTCAGAGCACGTAGCAGCAGTAAACGAAGCAAAAAAGCAAAAAGAAATATCAGATCGACAGAAAAAATTAATAAATAAATTACAAGTACAACAAAGATTACAGGAAGCATATGGAAAAGAAGAAATATTAGACGAAGATTTGACTGAAGATGAAGAAAATGAGTTGTATCATGGAGACACAGACGAAGAGAATGATTCCAGTCGTCATGTTAACAATATTGTCACTGATTTGAACAACGATGAAGAATCTTCTAGCTCAGAAGATGATCCAGACGAAACTTATGCTAACAATAAGTCTAATAATGATAATGTCATTACTAATTTAGGTAGTGATGATAATGTCATTACTAATTTAGGTAGTGATGATAATGTGATGTGTGATTCGGATGGAATCATGGACATTAATGATAATAATAATAGTTACAATGGCACTGAAGGGGGATTTATATTTGAAGAGAATAGAAGTGATCTTTTAACTGAAGATACAGAATTTAAAGATAATGGCATGGGCATGAAAGAAGTTGGTGATGATTATATTCATTATGATACAAAAGGAGGGTTTTTGATTGAATAAATTAATTTTGTTCGTTTAAAATAGTTGAGAAATAAACTTCTATCATCAATATGTAAGTTTTTGCATATATTATTGAATAATTACAGTTGTACTGTCTAGCTATTAAAAAATTGCTATAGAAATATACCCCTCCTGGAATCATAATAAAAAATTCCAAAAATATGCACTTAGAGAATGTGTATTTATACAGTGCTATTATAAGCTAAACCAGACTATACTGTGCATTTAGAGAAATTTTATATAGAATGTATTTGGTGTGTGATCTTTCTGTATATAGCCTTAATATTAGTATTTTCAAGTACTTTCTTAAAACTAGCCTTTCTTAATAAACAAAATACATGTTACTGAACAAATATTTAAAAGTTAGCCAAGTTAATAAATTGATTAAGAGGTAAATCGTAATTAAAGGGTGTAAAAAAATTTGTTGGAAGTTAATATATAGAGTCGGATTGTAGTTAGCTTATCATGAAAAGTATTTTTATGCTAAGAAAACCTTCCGTGAGTTTCTAACATTATAGAACAAATTATTCCGGTTCTAATCGTGGTAAAGTTATTAAAATTTTGTAGATCATGAGTTGTTGATATTTTCTTTTCATAATTATATGGTTTACATAGTGTCAAAAACCTGTGGATTCCAACATTATATGAAAGAAATAATAATTCTTCACGATTTTTATTATGAAATCTACTCTACAACTGTGATCTACCACTTAAAAATTAATTATATCGATATAAACAAGTTATTTTTTAGAAAATTTTAATTTGATGTATTTTTCAAAATTTTATGAAACAATACATTTTCACATTAGCCAATCAAATCGGAGTATTAGCTTTTTATATATTTCATATTTTTTACAGCCAATAGAATTGCTGTATTTTTTTTTAATTTTATACCCTCCCCTACTCCTATGGACTATTTAATGCTATGTTAAACGACAATTTGGAGTAACCTTAGTGATTGTAAATAAATATATACGAACACATAGAATCACATTTATTAGACTCCGACAAACAAAATCCCGCCAAAATTGACCGAAACTAACAGATTCGAGGAGGCATAGATTTAAAATTCGAATCTTACGTGATGTATGTAATAAATGTAATAAAATTAAAATCATTCCCTTGTTACTGAAACTCAATGGAGAATCTACCTTCTACCAAAGTATTGGCATTAAATCCTGTTTATCGAACAAATGGAAAATTATTTATTAGAGATATATTTGATCTTAAGACGATTCAGTTTACGGAAGGCTTGTTTAATATTTCATGTCAAGTACTCTATTAATTATAGGAAAATTGAATAAATTTCTTATTTATAGATTCCAGAACTGTCCATGACTTGTTTTTTTTATAAAGATCATCCAATTCAAAAAGTTGAATTAATTGCGCCAATAATGGGTATTGACTCTAGTAACTTTACAAATGGTAGAGTTTGCATGAGATGAACTCGTGAATGTTCGCATTGAGTTAAACTATTAGAACAAAAATTATAGGCATAAAAGTTTTTTTTTATTATCACATTAATCTTACAACGCTTACTTTACTTTCTTTTTAAGAGTGAAACCTGGTCTCAGTTTTTATTGATAACATTTGTAATGATTATAATTTAATATCAAAATATTTTCACATATTGTATGGTACTTCACTACTTTTTAGTTATCGATTAAAATACATTGAAATTAAATAATATTTTAACAGTAAAAGAAGCAAATAAAACAGAATGCTAGTATGCTTGTAATATCAACAAATATTATTATAAATTTTGCGTTGGCGTGAAAGTAAACGAATTATGTAATAACGATGGATTCATTAAATTATTATCTGTTATTGTAATTAGAGTATTTATTACTTCAGAAATTATTTCAGCCAACTCAAAACTTTTTACGATATAAGCTGTAATAGCTTCAACACAAGCTTTGGCTTTTAAATCCGTAAGAATTTAATCCGGCATGCTATAAATTTAAGAGTTCAGTGTTTTTTTTTTTTTTTTTTTTAGCATTACTTACATAAATAATCAATTCAGTTCGACGCAAACCTTTATTTTAGCTTTACACATCTCCAATTAAAGCTTCTGACGCAACACAGTTTCAAATCTGCACCGGATAATTGGATCGAATTATAGTATGATCGAACTATAACGATAACGTTTAAGAAAATTATGCTTTTCCTCCGTATTAAATATGATATAAAAATACTCTTGTCAGGTTATTTTGACCCAGATTAAAATAGAATTTCTCTTAATTAAAAAGTCAGATATATAGAATTGAGTAACATGTACGTATTAGAATTTATCTGAGATAGTTCAAATAAATCATATCGATATGATATATCAATGATTCAATTTTTGTAGTTACTAATGTGTACACTATAACTAGCGCATCCAGAATTATAATGTATTCATTATGTCATTAATTTATATTAAAATTTTATATAAATAATAATATTTCTACGTAAGCGAAGTTTGTTACAGGCACATATATATTTTAATATTGTAAACCATTACTTCAATATTTTGCAAACTAAAGCTATAATATAAATTAGTAAATTAGAACCTAAACAAACTATTGGATATATTGAATCTATCTACCCTACTCTAACGAATACTTCCACAGGTTTATAATTATTGAGACTATTAAAACCTAAGGTCACTTTGGAAAAGGTGAAAAAACCCAAATTAGCGATTAAAAAAAATTGGTTCAGAATGTCGAAAGTGAAAGCCTGTAACGTTGTAAGACGTATGAAATTTTAGTTTATTTAATTAAAAATATTGTGAAATTTCAGGTTTTGAGTTCTACGTACGTATATATAATATGTATAATATATATGTGAGTGCATGAGAGTGAAAACCTGCAGCTGCATACGTATAACGATAATGTTTTACTATAAGTTCCAGGTTTCACTCTCATGCACTCATGTGTATTTTTTTTTCTTAATCAACGAAATCTTTGCATTAATGTTAATCGAAGTTGCTTAATTTTTTGTGATTATACGGACTATCGTCCAGGCGATTATCCAAACCCAACCTGATATACATTTTCAGGGTGCAGTAATTAGGGATGTATTAAATTACTTATCGTTATGTAAATTACATTGTAGCTTAACGTAACTTTACATCGGAATAGTGTATTGCCACATGACAATTTTACCGACATTACAAAAGTTTAGTCAGCACTAATAGATGTCCATCAGTTCGGAATTGTAATTTTTATTATTTTTAATGCCAGCGTTATAAAAAAATTATTCACATAATAAAAATTACATGTAATTTCGATTTCAGAAACTTACACAAACTTACCGTAATTTCTTTAACGCTAGGATAAATTAGTGGAGTACCCAAAATTCAGCAGATCGACCAAAAATCTAGAAATGTTAAATTTCAGTAATTTTATGTAACTTTGTGTAAAGATTTGATAAATTGAAATTTCATTTTAAAACACATGACATTAGTTTCTGAGATCAAATTTTCTTAACTCAAATCAGATGATACAATAATACTTGCCAAAGGTAGATTGTCAGCGAATTCTACCAAATCGAATTATCCAAATGGTTGTATTTTGTCTATTATCGAAAAATGTCAGGTCGTCGGAAAGGAAGATAAACCTTGTAAGTCTGTCACGACGACACATTAATTTTCAGGTTTTAAAATAAACAACGGATTAGTACATAGGTTACTACGATTACTATACCTAGAAAGTTACCGATAAAATTTACCATGGTTTTACGATTCCTTATGATTTATCTAATTCTAAGACTTTGGCTACATGAAAACGTAGATCTATTAATAACGATAAAAAAAAAAAAAAATGGCAGCCCGACCAAAACTTCGGAATGCCAGATAATAATGAGTGCCTTGCGTCCATCTTTTTCAATTTCAATTCCAGGAAAATAGTAGTATCAAACATTACATGTTTTCCAAAGATATATTGTCAACGAATTCCAACAAACTTGATTAATGTAAGGTTGTCGGAAATGAATGTAGATTTCGTAAGTCCATTACTAAGACACTAATTTTCAAGTTTTAAAACGCACAACGAATTAGTATATAGGTTATTATAGTTACAAGTCAATCTTATACTTAGTAAGTTACTAATAAAACTTATCGTGGTTTACAGTACCTTATGATTTAACTGATTCGAAAGTCGATTAAAGAAGTAATAGTACCTAAAAAAAAAAAGAAGCCTTTCAAAAAAACTTAAAAATTAGATGACTTTGGCAAAACTTCGATATTCCAAATAATAGTTCCTTGCGTTCATCCTTTCAACTCCAATTCCAGGGAGATAGCGACATCCAACATTACATGTTCCACTATTCAATTTTAATTTTCGACCTTTATACCGTTAAGATCCTATAACAAAACCATAAAAATGTGTAAATTGATTTATTTCCGTAAGCGCTAACCACTTGAGCACTGCCACCAAGGCATTCTACAACCTTTGAATTCAGTGATTCACGAAACGTTTTTACCGAGTAAGGCTGTTCCTTACCCAGGTCCTTGTGTCACGATACTTTTCAGTATACCGTGTACTTTACTCACATAGATCGATGACCTGTGATCTAGGGGTAACGAATTACGTAACGCGCATCCAACGATTATCTATTAAAAAACAATTGTTTACATTTACACACTTACTATCCCTTCGATATTGGACTTTTACTTTCGCCTAGCTTTGATAATAATAATCTAGAACTTAGCACCTAACTTCTAACCCTAACCCTTAGCAACAAAGGCTGTCCTTACCGGTTTTTCTGTATTTGGATCTAACCACCCGACTAGACGAGCGGGTGCTCTGGTGAAGATGTAATATCGGTTAAACTGGGTTAAATCATTGTGTTCTATATTAACCACCTGACTAGACGAGCAGGTGCTCTGGTATAGATACAGGATTTAATTTAAGGCTCCACCTTTGTATAGAAAATTTATTTTTTTACTGCTGAGATCTTTAACACTGAGTTTCTTTCAGAGTAAACATTAGAAACCGGTGACAGGTGCAATGGTCTAGATTAATTCATTGCTAGCATAAAAAAATTTCTGGGTTTATAGAGATTTTATCTCGTCTAACCTAGTGTTTTTTTATATGCGAACTTTTTTTTTCCCGATCGTTTGCTGACACCTCAATGTGGTGATCGGGTGAACGAATTTTATATAAAAATTCAAACCGAATTTTATAAAAAATTCGGCCAAGATCAGCTTAAAAAATTTTATTAGATAAAAAAATAAAGATAAGTTTTTTTTTGTTTAAATTTAGTTGAGTTTTTTTTTAAAAAAATTATATTAATCAGTTTTTTTTCGCTTTTGTTGTTGTTCGTAGGTGTTGTCGTTCGTTGGTAAATATAAACTTTGATTTCGTTGTTTCTCGTTTAGCAAAACTTATGAATTAATGTCTTTTAGTTTTTTTTATAGCATTTTGCGGTGATTTATTACGTTGTTAATAGCAGATATAAATATGCATTTAGGAATTGTACAGTATGTAAAAAGAAATATGTAATAATTTTTTAACGAAATTATAAACACTATTCAATTTTTAATATCGATAAGCAATAAATTGATTATTTTATTTATTTCGAATAATTCAATAAACGTACAACCAGAAAGTATTATGATTAATGGTTTTTCTAAGTATTTGGAAAATTCTATTGCCTTTTTAAAATAAGTATAATCCTTCAATTTATGCAATGTCGCAAAATTTTACCAAGCCATTTGTTACTATTTGGGTTCATTATATTTTCTTTAACAATTTTGTTGTTGCGTCTTGGATTTAGAATTATAATTCAAATAAATAATCAGCATTATAATCTTCCGAAAGAGCATTAAAAATAAAATTTACAACGTATATTTTTAGAATAGTGTGTTGATTGGATTTAACAATCACTTTTCACTTTGAAGTATCGAAGAAAAAAATTACTAAATCAATTATGTTAATAGTTTAATAAATATTAATTATTATAATGATCCTAATCGTGATGATTTGACAATATCACATGATTTTCGAACTTTTTTTGGTGGCTGGTCTGGGTTGCACGTGCAGAATTTAGAGTGTGCATTCAGTTCTAAGTTCCAAACTCGGGACCAAGCTATTGCGTGCGTTTAAAGAGGAGTATACTCTTGGAAAGGTTTGACTGTACTACGAACGAAAATAAACCAAGCTGATCATTATGTATGAGAAATATAAGATATTGAGCGTACGATGAAAAACAACGGGTAATTTTTTTCTACAGCAGAGACAGTGCCCGATCCAAAATGAATCCCTCTCGCCTGTGATCAATTGCAAATTAAATTATTTATGTTGGACTCAATTGTGATGGATATAATCCCTCACCAGTTTTAATATGTGTAACATTGACGGTCTCTGCTGTTATTTTTTTCATCAAAGTTAATGTCACTTCCATGTGCCGCTTAGTGACAATAACTCCGATGGAAAAATTTCATTTTCGTATGTCTAATATTGATGTTATTGTTTATATTATATTAGAATGTAAATTTTTTTGTTGTGACATTTTTTACATGATCATATCATATGAACAATAACATTAAAATTTTTTTTATTATATTTAGGATAAAAAAGAACTAGAACCATACACCTCTAATTTCTAATTGTGTAAAGATCGATTTTCTTAGTAAAAAAAAAGCCTAAAAGAAATGTTATTAAGGAACTAATTTATTAATAATTATCAATTTGCATAAAGTTAATTTTCGATTCATATTCGCCATTTTACTCTCATTAATAACTGTAATCTTTTAAGTAACACCGGGGGTTTTTTTTCATAATTAGAGTTTAATCAAATAAAATTGTAAATAAAAAGATTTTTTACTAACATTTATTGTTATTTAGTAAATTCAACTTCGTCATAACGATAATCCCTCAAGTTTGTAGTGTTTATGGCTGCAGTTGAGATTATCAAGATTATCAGGTGCCAAATATTTTTTCACAGCAATGTATCGAATGCAAAGCCAAGTATAAAAATTTAGATGGAATGTATCATACATATTTGTTCCCAGAAATAAGAATGAAGAGCTGTTTTGAAATAGAGATAATGAAAAATGCTGGAGTAATAAACCAAATATCGAATGATTTAAATTAATGATAGAAATTTACGTATCTTTATTGTTTTTTGCCGAACTCAAAAGTCGACTTTAGCTATGGCGCATACAAGATAATGAATCGTGGCTTAGTAAGTAAAGTCAACATTGAACATGCAAACGGGCTTGAGCAAAAATATTGAATAATTAAACAAATATCGTTTAGAGAACTGATAATATTTTACATGTGGATTTTCTTTTCTGGTTAAATCATTTAAAAGAAGAAAAAAAGGAACAAAGTAGCAGCGATACGAACATAATGGCCAAAGAGACCATGAGTCAATTTTGGCTATGGCTTGGAGGAGTTCTATTTGGTATAACATTGATTTTGCTAATATATGTATGTCCTATCCTTGGTAAGAAATTTTAGCTGATCTAGTTTATTTTTTCTTTAAAGAATTTTGATAAAATAATACTTTCAATTGAACATTATTTGCATAGAACTTACAAAGATATTATATTTTCACTTGCATTCGAATGCAATTATATTAAATAACCCTATTATTGAGTACATGTAGGTTATTATTATAATTTAATTCATTTATTTTTCATGACAAACCTTTTCATCGATGAATTTTATCTTTCAGGTATTTAGCTCTATCAATTCCACTTCCAGGTAAGCTTTCGTTTATTTTTTTACTAATTTATTTGCTAAGATATAACGTTAAGATTTAATATTTTTAGTTGGCTTGGTGTGGTTGGGTATATTAAAGCGTCGCTGTAGTGTAAAAATTATAAGAGATAAGATAATAGAAGAATTATGGTATATTATTTTTAAGCCGACCTTATTCTTGAATCTTATTATCTTATTTACTATACATTTAAAAAATATTTTCTAGCTTTGTACCGTTATACATGGTTGTAGTTTCAGGTAAGTCCACCTAGATTTTTAAGCTGTCCTGAACTATTAGGCCATGCAAACTTAATAAATCGGTTTTCATAACATAAAAATTTTAAAAGTGACCCGGCAACCTGGCTTTTAATTTTATTTTCAAAAAATTTTATATATGAAAACATATTAGATTTTTTTAAAAAAAATTCACCCGGATAGTAAGTATACTGAATTTTTTTTTTTTTTTAGAGTTTTGTAAATTTTGACTTGGCCGGGTTATGAAAATCGATTTATTAAGTTTGTATAGCCTTATATAACCCGATTTTTTAACATATACTTTCAATTATATTCCGACACATATTAAACATTAAAGTCGTCTATACACATTATACAGTCGGTCATGTTGGCGATGTATCTTTATTTTGCCCCACTGCAAATTATGCTTCCATGGTGGTTCACAACGCATGTGTAATCAGTACATTCAACTTTTTAGCAATGTGGCTATATACTTTTTTATTAATATTTAGTATATTTGCATATTTTTGTGGATGTTGCCCACGTGAAGAAGATTTTAATATCAAATCAAAATTTTTGTCGAGTGTTAATCTTGATTCCTCAAATGATAATGAAGCATTATTGGGGAAAAGCTAATCGAGAAATTTACATGATGAACTTTTATAAATTTTATCCATTTATACATGGAAAATATATCTAAAACGAAATTAAGTTAATTGTATTTAACATTTAAGCTTGTGAGATTAGCAAATTCATTGTCGGTATATGCCTTGTGCATAGCAAAGAAGCTTTAGAGTGAAAGAAAAAAATTTTTTTTTGTTACCTCTTTTCTGTAAACCACATGATAATTGACAAATTAAATAGTAATATTTAAATAGATATAATGATTTCTCAAATATATTAAAGTATCTTATTACGCTCGGTTATTTTGAGATATAAGTTTCGTGTATTCCTGTTAGTGTTCCGCGATGAGCCAGCTTAAATAGGCTTACAGCATTATAGTCCAGTTCGTTTTTGGCTCATTAGGCTTGCAAGACCAGCGGTATGAATTACTTGCTCACGAGCTAGTGGGCAAAAAACGGGACGGGTTATTCAACTCTATTACTATCTATACTATAATTCAGTATATATAATTTTAGTGTCTTGGTCACAGATCAATCATAAGAACTGAAAAACTGTTTAAGAGATAATTCCTACTTACTTATTTAAGCCGGCTCACTACAGAACACTAATTCATGTAATAAATATACAGTATTTATTAAACCCCATTTTTAAATAATAATATGGGCTGTGTTCTGAGAAAAGGGACCAAATTGGTAATTAAAATTTTTTTTTCATGCTTAACTCATCCAAAATTAACATAAAAAGATTTTTTTTTACTTAAGAAACAGTTCTTTATCTTAATAAACTTTTGCAGTACAACACTTTAAAGTTTATATTTTCTTATAAATTATTATAGAATTTATAATATATTATAGAACTTATAATATAAAATTCAATTTTCTGCAAACTTTTTTTTTATTAATTTGGTTCCTTTTCTCAGAACACAGCCCATATATATAATCAGATTATTTATTGCTAAACTTTTTTTTGTTTGTATCTTTTAATTACATCATCATTTTTACAAATATTTTCTTTCAATATTTTTTGTGCATTACTTTTTTTGCAGATATTATTTTTGCAATATTATCACAAATATCTTTTGCTCTGTTACCTTTTCACAAATGCCTGCTCCCATCATGTTACCTTCATAAAAAAAACTTTGAAATTTAAAAACTTTTTTATAGTTATATATTAGATGTTAGAATTTAAATATACATTTTAATAGGGTTTAGGGGTTAGAATTTTTAGGGTACGGATTTAGAGAGTAATATATGTTTAGAAAACTATTTCATGCTTTGTTCTTAATATTTGCAAAATTTTAAATAAAAGATTCTAAAATTGGGCAATAATTTTTAGAATGGTTAAAGTTTTAAAAAAATTTACTTGGAAAAAATTTGCTTGATTTCTATTGATTCAACCCTGTATTTTTCAATTAGATTTTTATTTTCTTAATCACTTTCAATAAACCCGAAGGTTAATAAATTTTTTAAAAAACAATATACAGTATAACATTGCTTACCTCACAATCAAACAAGAATATAACAATTCCAGAATACCATAGCCAGATTAATTTTGTTAATAACTTAATATTTACTAATCTTAATAATAGTTACAAATATCAAAATAGTTTTTTAAATAAATTTTTTATATATTTAACTAAAGTCTAAAGAATATTTGCAATATTTCTATAAATAGTTTCTGCAAATGTTTCAATTCCAGTTTACTAAAGATTTAACAAACTAGAAAAATAGATACTATTAGATATCCGGAATGTGGTTAAAAATAAAAGTAAATATATTGGTTGATATATCCAAAAAAAGGTGCGGACATAAACATACAAAATCTGGTCTATTACTCCCCCATAATATCCTCCGCTACGCTCCGGATAACAGTAATACGTATTTATTATTTGCAGAATTAGGTTAATAAATTAAAACATTAAGCAAGTCAGGGTAGTGTTTTTATCAATAGTTTTTTCCAATGCCATCTTTTCTTCCAAATCAATATTTTTGCTATTAATCATTAAAGAGGTCATGGTGATGTTTTTACAAAGTGATTCTGCAAATAATTTTCTTTCTTTATAGCCAATGTTACTGCCATAGAGAATTAAAGAGGTTAAAGTGGCGTTGTTACGAAGAGCCTTTGCTAACATCTTTCCTTCTTTAGGACCAAACTTATTATAACTAAGATCTAAAAATAATAGTGTACTATTTTTATAAAGCGCTTCTGATAATAATTTCCCTCCTTTATTTCCAAGTTGATTTAAACTAAGATTTAAGGATTTTAAAGTAGTGTTATTGCGAAGGACTTTTGCAAACGCTCTTCCTCCTTTGGGACCAATTTTATTATCACTAATACTTAAAGATATCAAAGCAGTATTTTGGCAAAGAGCTTCCCCTATTGCTTTTCCACCGTCAGGACCAAGGAAATTATTATTAAGATTTAATGATGTTAAAGTAGTATTCTTACAAAGAGCTTTTGCTAATAATTTTCCTACTTCAAGGTTAATCAGATTTCCCTCAAGCTCTAGGGTGGTTAAAGTGGTATTTATATGAAGAGCCTCTGCAAATGCTTCTTTCATTTCGAAACCAAATAAGCCATGACTAAGATCTAAATATAATAGTGAGTTATTTTTGGAAAATGCATCTGCTAAAGTTCTTTTATAACTTGAAAAATTATTACGAATATTTAAGGAAGTTAAAGTGGTATTTCTATAAAGAGCTTCTTCTAATACTTTTTCTTCATCGAAATGAAATTGGTTAAAAGCAATATTTAATGAAATTAGAGTGGTATTACTATAAAATGCCTCAATTAATGATTTTCCTTCAAATCCTAGTTGATTGGATCCGAGATCTAAATAAGTTAAAGTAGCATTTTTGCGAAGAACTTCAGCAAATGCTTTTCCCCCCACGGAACCAAGCCTATTACGAGAAATATTTAAGGAAGTTAAAGTATTGTTTATGCAAAGAGCCTCAGCTAGTGCTTTTCCACCTTCAGAACAAAGGTTATTATGTTCAATATCTAATGAAATCAGATAGGTGTTTTTGCAGAGAGCTTCTGCTAATGCATTACCACCTTCTGAACCAAGCTCATTATTACTAAGATTTAAAGCGGTCAAGAAAGGGTTTTTATAAAGAACTTTTGCTAGTATTTTTCCCTCATTAGGACCGAAATGATTATTTGCGAGATTTAATGAAGTTAAAGTTTGATTTTTTAAAGATAATGTCGCATCTTCAAGTCCAAAGAAATCAACGGAACTTCCAAAGATGCATAAATATTTAAGATTCTTACTTGTTCTTAGGAACATTGAAATTAAAGAACGTTTAACTTGTTGAACTACCGAATTTAAAATAAAGTCAGTTTGATCAAGATGCAAAAGTCCTTCGTGTTTAAGCCAGTTTACTATTCCAGTAGTTAGATTATTTTTAGTCGATAATGTATAAGTTGTATAATCTAGTGATGATATAGATGACATATAAGTTGTAAATTCGATTGTTGTATAAGTTGTATATTCTATTGAAGATATATAAGATGTATATTCGAATAATGGTTTTGGGTCATTTGGAAGAATTATTTTAAGTGGAATTAACTTAGCTTGTTCTTCAGCATTTAATGCTAAAATACACATTCTAATTAATTTTCTATTTCTTAAATGAATCGAGAGCTCGCTCCATAATATTGGTATAACATTTCTACACCAATGACGGTTTACGAGAAGGCATGAGAATAAACATTTGGGATAAATTCTAAGGTTAATAAATATTTCAAAAAGGCATTCATTCGGCAGAATTATCATTTTAAAAGATGTAATGACGTTAAAAACAATGCCTTTTGCTTTTTAAATAAAACTACTGCGTCTTTATAAAACTTATTATGGTGATTAGTTATCGTGCAACGTTGCACGAAAACATAAAAAGTAAAAAACGATGATTTGTATGTTTAGACAAATTTTCAAAAAGGCAAAAATGGGAGTCTAAATCTACCTTGAGACCAATGATGCCTGATGAAACTACTTTTGTAATGATAAATTTGGTTTTTGTCTGATGAAACTTTTATGGTTGACGATTGACGAAAATCCTGACGATTAACCGAAAATCTTGACGTAATTAATTACTGTTCTCATATGTACCAATGAACTTTATGATTAAATAACGGTAATTATAAGAAGCTCATTGAAAGAAGAACGACTGTATTCTATATTTTATATTTTATTGGTTAAATTAATGCACATGTAATTTTTATTACGTTTGCAAAAATTGAGTAAAAAAAAAACACTAATTATTAGGTAATTTCAGACTTCTTAACATTACCATATGGGCTGACTTTTGAAATTGCTATTAGGGTTTTGTTTTTTTTAAAACTTTAATATTTAATATTAAATATTTTTAATAAATTAATCTATTTTAAATAGATTAATTTATTAAAAGCTATATAT